GGATTTTTTGTGATTTAAATTAAGCTTAATCCCACCGACCTTGAGCCATGGTTCTGGAGTGATGCCAGTCACTTTCCTTGAATTACCTTCCTTAGTGTCGACTTCTATTGTGACACATTTTTGTGCTATACGTTTGTACATCAGTGGTGAGGGTGGCACCTTTCTGAGAACAAATATCCTTGCTTTCTGCATGGGCAGCTCCTTTTGGCAGAACAGTGTGACTGGCATGTGCAGTATGAAGAAGAAAGTAAATGAGGGGGCTATCGACGCTTTGTCGGAGAAGGCAAACGAGAAAGTTTCATCGGACAAGGCAAACGAGAATGTTTCATCGGAGCAGGCGAACAAGAAGGTTTCATCTGAACAGGCGAACTAGAACGTTTCATCGAAGCAAGTGAATGAGAACGTTTCATCGGAACAGGTGAACGAGAACGTTTCATCAGAACAGGCGAAGGAGAACGTCTTGTCGCAGTAGGCGAAAGACATCTTGTTGGAGCAGATGTCATGACATAGTGAGACAGGTGGTGAAGTTTGATAATGTAAAGAGACAGAGGGTGAAAGAGAGGTGTCACGATGTGGGGAGAGAGAGTGTTCGTAGTTATCCACAGGTGGGGGAAGAGGAGGCTCAACCTGAAAGAATAAACAAAAACTCAAGGTTTGGCACCTAATTGGATTGACATACAATAATTATACAAATACGCAAGGAGGGAAGACCTGAATTCAGAGGCTAAAGGGACCAAAAAGATGTGCATCCCACATCCCATTTGGTCCAGCTTTCCTCCCATTAGGTTTGAGTTTTTAACGAGAACTAATGAATGTGAACCACACGGGTAGTGTATGTGGTATAATTTACCATTTTTCATAAGGAGAATCATTTGCTAATCACTTTTTCATGGTACTGTTCCCTCACATCTAGTAGCTTCTCCATCGCTGTATCAGGAGATTCAGCATCTACTTCACACTGGAGACCATCTGTTGCAGTTCTTAGCTCATGTTCAATGGCCTTTCTTGGGTGACGATTGTACAGCAGGAAAAATGGGCTGAATCTGGATGAATCTTGGATGCCAATGCGGTACGACAGAACAAGAAATCCACCACACCCACTGCAGTTTTATCAGGCAGTGGTGCAGTGATGATGAACTTGTTTCCCCAAGGTGTCTCAGTCAGTGGACCTACAGTATGCATTATGAAAAACATGTGCACGTTGTTACACAATCATCCATATCATCTGGAACATACCAATCAGGTCAATTCCAATCCGTTTCCAGACGTCAGTGACAGGGATAGGATGCAATTCAGCTTTAGCCCTACCAAGACGGTTATTAACCCGTTGACATGTCACAATACTCTGATACATCATTTGCCATTCCTTTCCACCAGTATGTTGAAAGCTGCAGAATTGAAAATTGCTACCATGAAGAACTGCCTGCATATATAACTGTACAAAATGGGGTATATCACACTACTTACTGACACCACTAGTGGTACCCCATACATGCAACCCTGAATATAACATACCTTGCTCAGTGTCTTGTCACGCCCATAATGTCCTCCATCAATCCCGTCATGGCATGCTTGAATGAGTCGTTTTTCTTGGTGTCGTTCACAACAACACGGCGTAGTATAGTTTCCTATTTGGACCTTTCGACGAATGAAAGAGGACACTATCCTTCTCCTCAAATGTTGCAGCCTGCTGATGAAGTGCACGCTTCTCATTGCTTGTGAAGCCAGGTGGGTAGAGTTGAGATGCACGCCTTGCCCCTCGCACATACTCCACAAGCTGTTTGTACCGCTCTTCTGTCATAGCAGATGCCATGATAGGAGCTCCAGCCTTCAAGGCGAGCAGAAGCGGAGAGAGGCTCCAGCCTAGAAGGCAAGCAGAGGAGAGAGGCTCCAGCCGTGAAGGCAAGTAGAGAAGAGAGGCTCCAGCCGTGAAGGCAAGCAGAGGAGAGAGGCTCCAGCTGTGAAGGCAAGCGTAGGAGAGAGGCTAGCCGTGAAGGCGAACAGACCCGCACAACCGCTGAGTGTCTCGAAGAGAAGGAGTGCAGTCATGCAGACTCAACTCAGTATACGAAATTACAGTGCAGAAGCAGCGAGTAGCTACGGCGCCAACAGAATGGTTAATTTTCCCGCGCGTTTAGATGTGCAACCGTATCCGCAGAAATTTTTCTTATTAGAGGGACCCCAGGCATTCCACACTAAGAGATATACTATCCCCCGGATAATAATTGGCGAGTGGGAGCGAGCCAACCTAGTCGTTCGTTCGGGAGGATTTTTACTAGTAGGCGAATCCAGAGTATTTTTGGCGAGCAGGAGCGAGCCTACAGGGGATGACACGGCACAACCAACGGTGTGGCCTATAGCCAAGCTAGCCAACAGGTGGTAGCATGACACAACGGCTCCTTAGAATCACGCAATCAAGCTATAGCTGGGCCTCAGCTTTATACCTAGCTAGCTCTCACAAGTATACCAAGTAGAACTCACAGCCTAACGATGGCGCTGGCTTGCTGTAGGAAAAAATTCGAACATTATTCATAAAAAGAAGCGCGTAATGTCTACGCATGCGCACTTACACAACATATGGTGAGAACGTATATAAATAAATAGAAAAATCGCGCCGTTTGGACCAATAGGTTAGCTCGCTCCCGCTCGCCAATAACGTCCGTGTGCTCCGTCACCGTACGTCGTGTGAGTGCGCATGCGCGGCTTAGTTACATACATGCACGTGTGCTATATATATAGTCTGACAACCATCAGACCATGGATCATCAGTCTACAGAGGATGCCCTTCGTCGTCGAAGAGAGGGGGAAAGAGAACGTCGTGCCCGTGAGACTCCTGAGCAGAGAGAGGCTCGGCTTTCTCAACGCCGACTGCGTGATAGGGAACGGGCTTCTCAACGCCGACTGCATGATAGGGAACAGGCAAGGGAACGCCTCGCCGCCGAAACAGCGGAGGAGAGGGAAGCACGAAACAAAGCACGAAGCGAAGCACGACTAGCGAGACGTCGTGTGGATAGGGAACGGGCTAGGGAACGCCTCGCCGCCGAAACAGCGGAAGAAAGGGAAGCATGACTAGCGAGACGTCGTGTACGAGATAGAGCTAGACACGCTGCAGAATCGGGGGAAACTGAACAAGACAAGCCCGCACAGCTCCGAAGCTACCAGGCAAGGCGAATTGCTGCCGAGTCCAGTGAAGAGAGAGAGGCCCGCCTGCAACAGGTACGATGTAACCAACAACAACGGATTGCCTCAGAGACTCCACAAGATACTGAAGCAAGATGTCAGCGTGGCCAACAAAGTCGCATGCAGCATGCAAGTACTGCCACTTCAACCCAACCTCAACTTCACCAGCCAATTGTCCAATCACAGATGAGCAAGTTTCATTCTGAAATGGCACACATGACTTGTCCATGCGTCATCATCACTGAGTAGTGGTCCTCCGTCTCTGAGTAACTTGATGCTCATTAACCGTTGGTGCTGATACAAACCTGTCACCACGCATACCTTTACCAGTCACAGTTGGATCTCTCCCGCTCGCCACCAATGCTTGCATTTCCCTAGTAATTATAGAGATATATAGAGCGTCTACGGACTCTTTAATAGGGGATAAAATTTCAAAGCCAGGCAGCCAGCTCGAAGTGGCCAAGTGGGCAAGGAATAGGGTAGGGGCTAGGGCTAGGGCTAAGAATCTGACGCGGGTTAGATGGCGTTTTAGGCATTTTGAGACTCGACACTCACCCTCCGTTGTAACTTCCAATGCCTTCCCAGTAGGCAAACGGGCGGAATGCAGTCGAGGTAAGCCAGTATATTGGCAGGTTCACTTGGTTTTCATGCTATCACTTTAGAACGCAGTACTTTTATGATTTTAAAATAGCTATGAACCATTACTATTGCTTTTTCGCCGGTTTCTTGCGCGTGGTGACAGAAAACCTGGTAACAGAATGGCAGACACACGCACAAACGAAGTACCTGGGCATGTGCGCCAGGGTTAACTATGGGATCTGAAGTGCCATACGGTCAAATAGATTAACAATCCAGCATTCAGACAACTAGGTGAGCTCATGAGCTCGCTTTGCTTTAAACAAATCCTGCATTCAGAGGACTAGGTATGGTTGCTTTAGTCGACGATTTTTAGAGATTTCATGATGGGCTGGGGAAGTATATATCAGTGTGCTTTGCTCTGTCTCATCCCTATGTTGTCTCCCTTTTTTACCATCCCTCTATCCCTTCTTTTTAAGTTTCGCCATTGAAGAAAGGGCCTCTGGCTTTTTAATGTTTAATCACAGTGTGTACCAAGGTTTCATCTCCATACTTTCTGCTGGCATGTACTCTATCATTTAGGATGTTGCAATATGCATGTGGACCAAGTTTCATCTCCAAGTGTGCTGCTGTTAGTAAGGTTAAGGATTGATAAAATTACCTGATGCTCTTTGTTGTTGTAAGTTCATGCTGCTCTTTTGCATGTTTAAGAAATGTGAAAATTGCCTGTTGTTTACAAAAAATTTAAATGTAATGGAATACGTTCCATGTGCACATCTAGCAAGTATGAGGAATACTGTAAGTGCCTGAGGCTATTTGTTGTTGCTTTAAGACACGTTTATCTAGTCAAATGTCATTGGGAGTATGTAATACCAAGTTTAAACTCCATGCATGCAACCATTAGCAAGTTTGAAGAGTGCCTTTTTTGTTTACATATAATATTTCATGGGGAAGTTTGAGTACAGTTAACACCATACCATTTGTTAGTTAACCTAACACAAGCATCATGTATTGCCTTCAGGACTTTCCGTTTACGGTCAACAGTATGCATGAAGTAGGTAGCTCTTATACGAAAGTGCGTATTTTGTGCGGAAAGAGCTAAGGGAGTAAAACAGAACAACAAAACTCCTTATCATTGCCCTTTACATTTGTCATGCTTGATAGCTTTCCCATCCCTATGTATGAAAGGTGTTGATATGCACCTACATCACAGTAATAGTCAGTCCCAGTTTTTTTTGATTGCGTGGGGAACTGTAGGGTGTTGAAAGGGTGTTTAAGAGAAACTTGTTAACCCTCGGCGCGCATGAGCAGCGAGGGTTATTGGGTTGTCTGTCTCTCTGTTACTCAACATCTCACTTCTCGAATGTTGTTTCGTCTCACAAACGATACTGCCTACTTAACGGGCAATGAAGGTCAGAAAGTTTTTGCAGTTTTCTCTGAAAATGCTCCGTTACAAAGATAGAGCACAAAAAAGCCAATATGCAAATACACAACAGATGGGATGGCTTACCACAGTCTGATCGATCGGCGTGCTCTGCGTACCTCGGAGGCACCAGAAGATGCAACGCAGGGCGTGTATCGCCTCTCGCATGCTATCTAGTAGGTAGCTAGCCCGCGTCAGACTCTGCGCGAGCTGGCAAGAGTAACAGCTAAAACTAAACCCAGCCATCAATTACTGATACTGCGCATGCGTTTACTTACACGTGCGCGTCACAATTCGCGGAGGGTTTGCACTTCAGTGCTTTTCATTTGTGTTTGTGTTGGTTTCACTCTTAGAAAATAAGGTTTTTTCAGGCACGCTGAGCTTGCGGCTGTAATAAGTTGATTTTTCATAGATCCATTAGAAAAGAGCTTGGTATATCGATTATCGTGTTTGTTTCCACACACAAGTAAACGTTTTTACTTCGTAGGGTGAAGTTGTTAGTGTGGAGGAAAAAGAGAGGGAGTTGGAAGGCAAGTTAGTTAAAATATATATGTAGGTGGAATATACATAGCAGTGGTGAATTCACTAGCCTATCATTTTTATTGCTGATACAATTACAATTGGGTACAATAGGACTTAGCTGGAGAAGTTTTCCAGGGTTTTCAGTGGACTGGACTGGTCAGAAAATTGCACCCATTATTTCCACCCTGCACAATCGATTTGCAGGCATTCGCAAGCTTAATGACAGCTTGTATGTACACTCTAGGTATAATTGTTTAGTTTTTCCTTGTAAGGCACCACCTTAGTAGTATTGCCAGTACCGCAGCTGCAACCCTAGTCAATACAACCATATTCGCAAGTGCATGTGATTGCTTTATTGACGAGGGAGGAAAGCCACAATTTACACCAACACTGTCCGTTACTTTTTTGACAAGCAGGAGCATCAATAGCTACAGAAACCAAGGAAAGACAGTGAATCTTGTGAATGGGTGAGGGTGAGCCAGAAAGCGACCATGGGAGCCAAGCGATGAGAGACAAGCGCAGAGAAAACAGCAAGCGAATATTGTACTTACCTTAGCACGGAGTGTAACACTTGTAGCAAACAACCAAGTCAGACCTGCGGCTTTGTAACAAAACTGTATCCAGCTATATAAAACATGCACATCCAGGCTTGTGCGTCTTGGTCCACTACTTATTCTCCTCTTCGCAGCATGCACCCGCTGCTCCCCCTGATGACTTCTGACGTCAGCTAAATCGTTAAAAGGACTTTTCCTTGCTTCTGTCTCATGGTTTGAGTAGCCAAAACCATTCCGAATCGCCATTTACAATGTATTAGCGTACCCGCGGCTGTCCTACAATGTATGGCCGGCGCGTCAATTAGCCATGGCTGCTGCACAAGGTCTATAGTGACAACTTCAGCACTATACCGTAACCCTTGGCGCGAATGCGCAGCGAGGGTTACGGTACAGCAAATTTCAGCTCCGTTGGAATTTTACGTGATCTACCGAAGCCGATAAGGGTCAACGACTTCTATTTTGTGCACTGCTACAATGGAAGTCCTCAAAATTCGCAATGGAAATCCACAATTTTAGCAATGGAGGTGCGCAATATTCGAAATGGAAGTCCTTCGCAAGACAAAACAAACCTTGAGGCCGTGAAGCAACGTCACGTGCAGCCGCCATGCTGCCATATCAGCGTCTGGATCCCAGTCAGCGCTCCATGGTTCCCTAACCTAGTGGTCCAAACGGTACGATTTTATGTCTGCAACTACGCATGCGTATGGATTATGCACTTTTTTAATCTTTACACGCTGCCGGTGTGCGATCGATCTAGCCAGCGAGAGAACTCTTGTTCATTCGCCGGCATTCGCTGCGCTCTTCGATGCCTGACCGTGGCTGTACGTCTTTCCGATCTTCGTGGTTCCATGTTGCAAGTTGCAAATAGGCTAGGATGGTTTTATGACTTCCACCATCATGGAGTTGGCAAATTTCCCAATTACAAAATGCACATTTCCATTCCATTCATCCCAAACTTCTGATTACTAACCTCACCAGCATGCATGTGCAGCGAGGGTCATGGTAGTTGGTCTGTGTGCATGCATGTATGTGTGTGTGTGTGTGTGTCTCCATCAGCAGTCAATGAAGGTAAAGAGCACTGGACTTTTTTCGGCGAGACGTGATGGTCTGCCTCCCGAACAAGAGCACCACGTGTAGCGCTTTCCGCATGCGCATTACTGACCTGGGTTGCCCCTAGCCTCGCGAAGCCACGCCTTCTCAATCCGTGCTTCCAAACATGCTTCCTTTCAATGGCTCTAACCACAATTCGGTTGTCATTATGGTCTATCCCTCACATTGAGCCAGTAAGATCTCTTCTGCAGAGTGCCGGAATAGTAGCAATGTTTCTCCCTCTGTAGTGCCCTGATTTCAACCCGATAGAAGAGGTATTCGGTTTTGTCAAGAGTTATTTACGTAAACGCGACTGCATTCTTCAACATGTACCAAATTAGAAGATATAATAAAAAAAGCATTTACATCTGTAACTGTTGAGCAGCATGCTGGTTATTTGTGATAGATATTGATATGAATCTGATATGTAGCTACATGAAAAAGGAGAAAGTAGGGGTAGTATACAAAGCCAGCTTGTGTAATGATTCAAACTATGCCACTTCTTTAACTGATCGATGCACTCAGTCCTTACTCTTGCACGTTTTCCAGGAGACATTGGTGCTACAGGCACTGGCGCATTGCCTGATGAACTTTCTCCTTCTGAAACGACCGGATGTGCATTTACTGACATATTTTATTGAAATACTGAACATTTGGTGGCTCATCATATGAGCTGTGCTTTTTTTTATGCAACATAATTGTGTGCCCATACATTCAATTTCTCGACCGAATATGTTTTCGCATGTTTTTCTTCAAGTTTCTTCACAATCTCTTCCACTTCACTTATCGTTCGCTCACGTCTACGCTTATTCTGCGGAGCTACATTTTCAATGGGAACTTCACGCTTGCGACTACAAGAATCGTCAGGCTTTCGGAATAAAACACCACAAAGTAATATTCTTGAAGTGAGTATACATTTCGAGTAAATCTGCATCTTCAACCAACCACACTTGTTTTCCCTTCATACCATGACCTGGTTATATTTAACCAACATCCAAGACAACCTCTTGAAGTATATACCTCTGCCAAATATTCCTTTAGTGACGACACCCAAGAAAACTTGTATCTCTCACAAATGTTACTGACACAATATTGATTTTTCTTGACTGAGTAGTTAATTTGTTAAAACTGGGGAGGTGCAAAGTTACCCTAGCAGTGTTTCTATTCTGCATAAGGAGCAAACAATAGTTAGAGTGAGCTAGATTGCAAAGGCGAGGTTTACTAAATCCCGTAGTAAACCTCGACGGGGTTTACTAGATGTAGTAAGCCTACAGATAAAACAGGAAAACATAACAAAATGTACATGTAAACAACAAGATCAACAACTGAATCTACATTGACGCGTCGTCCATGCACACGCGCAGACCATGCGCGCAGGGAAAAAAGTCATTACCACGCGTCTTTCTGCCGCTTCGTCCTTGCGCTGCATTTTCTGGCGCTCTGAGTCAGTCTCCACGAGTCATCGTTAGAAGCACTCCGCCATACTAACGAACAGGAAGGCCAGAGCGCTCAACGTGAAGCGCTCACTCTAAAATAGTTAGACGCCGATTCCTCGGTAACTACGCGCCGGTAGAAAGCCTCGTGCCCCGGGGGCGCCACAATGCTGGCGCTCTCGGCTTTCTACTGCGCGTAGTTACCTTGAATCAGCATCTAACTATTATTAGCATAATAACCTAATGCCTCTACAATACATGCAGAATCCTACCTCGATCTGAAGAGACTCGCATCCGTCCGAATCACTCGTATAAGTAGGGGGCCACGATGGAAACCCAAAGTGGCTCAGAACATTCGAATAAGAGCCCAGCTGACTTTGACTGGACGTTGAAGACGGAGGTGAGTTTTTCAGCACTATCAGCTAGGTCATCCAAACATGCTTCTGCCGAATAGCCTTCAGCCATATCAACTCTACCCTCTACTCTGCTACAGCTCTTGCTACATAAGTGTAGAGTAGCTTGTCATGAACCGTGCTTTTCATTCTGTTGGTAGACAAGATAGCGATAGAATGCTGTTTGTTGTTGTTTGTTGACATGTGGTCGTCATGTAATATGCATACGTACCAAGTTGCATCTCTATGCATGCTAGAGTAGCTAATCAAAGGTCGGACATGATGTATAATCGGACAGGCCTCCAGAGCATACAATAAAGTATCATTTATATCTAGGATGTAGTGTTGGAAATGGAAATCGTTCGTACAAAGTTCGGAGTATTCACACGCTTTTGTGCCGAGTTATGCCGTCGAAAAGGTTGACTGCCGATATTACGTAACATCGGACGTTTTCACCTACCGACAGACACCCTGCAAATCTCCCTTCATCACGAAGCTTTCTGGAATATAACAACATCCAGTAAAAAGCGAAGTTCAAGCCCTCCAACCTGCACTAAGAGGAGTCGCCTTCACCTATAGTATTTCCGCTTACTCCGCGTAGTATTGCAGCTGCCTCAGCGTTTTAAGATCAGACATGTCCAGCCGCACATACGCACCAAACTGACTCGCGTTTGGACTCCCTCGTTGCTTTGGAAGGTATGGGCGCAAGTGTTAACCCTTAACCAGCGACAGGCACATAAATGTGCCTAGCATTCTAGCATTTTCTTGAACGCTATTCACCAGTGCAGCAAACTGGCTCCGTTGACGCTGGTTACTACTACACCGAGAGGCACATGGCTCAGCCCATTATTAGTGGTGCTTTATGCACATGCGTCTTGTGAACATCAACGCGTTGTCATGAGGGAACCACTACTCTAGATTACATACACTTTTCTATTGTTCGTTTACTCTAGTAGGCAATCATCAGAGCGTCGGTAGACGCTCTATGTATAAGGATGGCACGGGTGAAATCTCACGTGATCCGCATACAAAACGCCTCCAAACTCGGCGAGAGCACCTACGTAGGCCTTCTAAACACATCAGTAACAACTCTCGGACCAATCTCTAGCTATACATAAGCCCAAAGCGTCCCATACATGCCTTCAGTTTTGCACACGACAATCTGCGAGTTCGCGATTTTCATGTCATCATATTCTTCATCATCATCATCTTCTTCAGTAAACCTGTTATCTCCTTACCGGAACCAGCCGAAGAGCTGATTTTCCCACTAAATGTCTCCCCAGTCGACAGAGATGTGCACGAAAATCAAGCAATCATTTTTCTCCCGCCGTGTATCTCTACAGTAAATCGTGGGGTAGACACTGAACGACGCCATTTTCTGCCAACTGCCAACTCAGCATGCACGATGTGGGGGAGGTGTGTCTGTGTGTGCGTGCGTAAAGTCTGCACAGTGCGTGCGCACGCGGCGCAGCGAACAATTGCACAACACAACTACATCTCCTTTTTGTTGGGGCTTTGCCCCCAAATAGAAGAATGAGTGGAACAAGTGGAAAAATCATGTGTATGAAATGGAAGGGGATGCTGGGATGTCACATCATGAAAGGAAGGGAACAAGAAGATGCCAACACCAAGACAGTCAGTCATTCATAACCCCTTCCCTACATCTTTGTTTCTTTCAAGATCCGCAGTTTATGTACACATGTGGATGTTAAGAGGTTTTTATGCTCTTTTCGCAGCCTTATGCATTCATGACTAGCAAAATATTTTTTAGCAAAACAAAGACGTAGGGATGGGGTTATGAATGTCTCACTGTCTTGGTGTAGGCATCTTCTTGTTGTTCCCTTCTTTTCATGATGTGACATCCCTACATTTCATAGAAATGATTTTTCCACTTGTATAAAGTGTACCACCACTTATGATCTGAACCTGGCAGGGGTGTGCACAGAAAATTATAGAGGCGCCAAAAAAAACGCCACTTCCAGTGCGCAGCGCATAAAGTTTTTTAAATGTCACTCTGGACAGACGTTTTAATGATTACATGCCACATGGTGGACTCCCCGCACGTAGGGCGTGCGCCCTGACGCGCATACACCGTAACACGCGGATGTGCACGCTCAGTACTGTTAGCTATGCAGTTGCTGCTGGCACTGGATTTGTCTGGCTTGGCGCTCCCACCTGACGCTATCTTGAGCGCCATAGCGCCAAATTCCGACCCCTGCCTCAGGCAGCCTAACCCTTAATGCCAAGACTAGCTATAAAAACCCTTCCCAAACTGCGTACATTTTGTTATTGTTTCTTACTTTGGCTTAATTACAATTATATCCTTGTTATAGTTTCAGTGTTTTATAGCAATGATGGAATTGTCAGCTTTGGGACAGCTTCCCCAACACAAGTTCCAGAGGAAATGCCCCTTTTAGACGATGACTATGAACATGACCATGAAAGTGATGTAAGTAACTATATAATTATGTATACCTGTAACATTGGTGATATTAGTACTTGTAGCACAATGCGTGGGCGTATCAAAGGCACCGACAGTACAATAAATGCCATACTACGAACAGTTGGGAAATTATTGAATGGTCACGTGCGGGCTGGGCAACTGTCCCAGGAGGTACCAAACTTACTGGGAGCTACTTCACAGGTGGTAGTCAGAGTCTTTGCTGGCCCGTCAATGTGCGTGTGCTTGACAGTTTGCTGAAAACTTGCTACAAACCAATTAAAACAAAGTTCACACTTGTATACTACGGTTATTATTGAACTCGGTTTGCGGTCTCGAGAATCGATAACGCACTTGGCTGCGCATCATGTGTTATCGTCTCTTGCCCACAAACCGCGTTCAATAATATCCGTAGTACACTCGCATTGTGCTTTAACTACTTCTTATTGTCTCAAACTCCTGTAAAGATATATAACGGTCAGAATCACATTATTCATATTTGACTCAACTGGACAGTGTTAAGTTTTGTGAGTCTACCATTCTATTAATTATGTTCCACTCTCCTGTCCCTCGCCATATAAAAATAACCATGTAATGGTCTCAAGTGATAGAATTAGTCGGGACAGCAAATTTTTATGACACCCTGTTTCTGTCATGTGCAGTACACGCCAAAAAAAAGGTTCCCACTATGCCGCCGTAGTACGGTGATACCGTAGCAAAATGTTCTACGGTGCTTCTACGGCGGATCTACAGTCAACCGCAGAGCACCGTAGCTGCGGTACGCTGCGAGGGTGTGGCGCACCATAGTAAAGTAAACGGTGGCAGCTAAAGGCCTAGCAAGCAACGAGCGTTGTTTCTAAAGCTGAGAGTAAGCTAAGAACACTAGCGTTGTAGCGCAGTCGTATCTAGCAAGGCTACTGCTGCTTGCTATCGCTTCTCGCTCTCCTTTGCACCTGCTGAGCACGCTGAAGCGACATGCGCGCGTGCGACTGCGCCCACTAAACCACGTATCAACATGGCACATCGATCGCCTCGCCGTCAGCACTGTCGCTGTGTGAACGCCGTGTGGATCTCCTGGCCGTACAGCTAGCTAAAGCTGCATGGGGCAACGCTGCTTGGTGGAGGACTGTATCTGGGTGTTAGTAAACTACGGCATACAGCGCCGTAGCAGGTCTAGGCTTCCACCGTAGTACGGTGTTGCTACGGCGTAGCAAGACCGTAGTTCTTACTACAGTGTGACCGTACTACGGTACAGTAGTGGGAAATTTTTTTGCCGTGTACTGTATGCATCACAGCTAATAATAATCTCCTTCCTTGCGCTGGCCTGCTGTAAGTAAAACTCAGTTTACTCTAGTCAGAGCCTAGTGCATTGTTTTTTGGAGTTGGGTGATTCATAACCATGGTTTTTGTAATGTGTGAGTAGGTTGCCAGGTTATTGATGTCCTGCTTTGACTGGAAAAAGTGTGTCGGAGGAGGTTCAATATACCAAATTTTCAATGCGTTTGTTAGATCTTGCTAGCACCATTTTACCCTGCTCTGTCACAAGTGCCCTAAATGACAATGGTGAGGGCATTTGAAGTCAGGTACTTGCACAGGGCAACTTCCAGTAGCTCACTTGACAGGAGCAGGGTTATATATTGGGACATTCTACCGAGTCGTGGGTGTCTGCCAGGCAGTATTTTCAGCAAAGAACCACCTCGTTTGCCCAGAAATGCCTCACTGTAGAGGGCAGAATCCACCATGTCCCAATTCAGAGAGCTTCTCTTTGGTGCCTGTAGGGGGTAGGCCATGTTGTAGCGACGCGGCATGACTCAACTTTCTTATTTTGAACGACAGTAAACTCAACATATGGAATGGCTTTTTCTACACAATGGTCATGACTGAGTGTTCTCCGTATGCTACCTATAGCAGAGTTTTCCGCAGAAAATTAAAGTAGCACGTAGGTGTGGCACTAGTGTTACATAACGACATAGACATACTGGTTCATAGAGACATGTACACACTGAAACACATATGCATTTACAAAATTCTCCACAGACTTGTCGAAATCAAAATGTTCTACAGGATGCCCCTTCATTGAAATCCACATGCAATGTAGAATTGTTCATTTGACTTCGTAGGTGAGATTTTACCCTACGCATAGTTGAGAATGCACGCTCACAATCAGCTGTATTGCGAGGCAGCAAGCACACTTGAGCTAATTTGCAGAAATTGGGGTAGACAGTTGACAGAACACTTTTATTGTCCGAGAAAGATATCAACACTTCCTTCATGGTCTTACTTTGATAGTTCAAAATCATATAGGTTCTGAGACCACACCATTCTACATTGAGGATTTTGGAGTCTACTAGAGGCGTGTCTCCCATCCTGTAAAACTTCCTGAGCTCTTCTACTGCCTTCTCCCCATATTTGTGCTCCATGCCTAGTTCTGCTGTTTGTGGAAGTTTAACTGGGTTTAGAATTTCGAACTTAGCATACATACCGGTTTCTGGGAAGCGCTGTTTGATGTTTTGCATTAATGCACTTTAATACTTGAATGTTGAAGGGTGCTAGTGAGGATGAAAGATCTGAGTCCAGTTGTGCAAACACACCATCCTGTTCCTTAAGAAGCTCTAAACTTCAAATATGTAAAGTGTTTCTGCCATTAGCGTGGCTCAGAAGCTCTCTTCTCATGCGCATGCTCATACAATAGTGGGTGGGGTGAAGTGAACGATATAGTAGTGCGTACAGTTGATAGGATTATGATAGAGTGACATGACAAGTTATTACACTACTCCCCCCCTCGTGAAAAGTTCCTCCCCGAACTTGATCTGCAGCTACACCTATCGTTCTGGGGGTCGTACAACCCTCTTCGGTCGCTGTCTGCCTTTCTTGGATGGTCCCTGGTCCTCTGGCACTCTGGGTGGTACCTTGTCTTCTGGCACTCTGAGTGGTCCCTGTTCTTCTTGCACTCTGGGTGGTCCCTGGTCTTCTGGCACTCTGGGTCCAGCATCCAAGCTCTGTCTACTAGGTTAGCGTCCATTGAGAGCTGCTGACTGCTTCAGTCTACAATCTCTGTAGCATGACCCTGCCAGTTATTGATTCTGCTACTGTCATCTTTTAGTGTCGGCGCTTTGTGCTGAAGGTCGTCTTGGTCGTTGCTCAACACTCCAGTGAGAGCAGCGTCCGTACCAGCTGAGCCGGCAGAGGCACGTGGTGAGACAGCAACTCCGCTAGAGCTGGAGTAGTCTCCCTTCCTAGGCACATACCATTCTCCTCTTCCTCCAGAGTCCTGTCTTTTCTGTCTGCGGAGGGGTGTTCCCCTTGCTGGAGACACGCATCAGCTGCAGCTTCATCAGCAGTCTCAATTTGTCCAGTAGGCACGTGGTCTGTAAGGGGATCTGCTAGCATCATTCGGGTTAGGTAGTCCTTCGTCCCCCAAGTCATTCATTTGAGTCTCTCTCCATTGCAAAGAGTCTTCTCCAGGTGGATCATCGGTGTTTTTCCATTCTGTTGGATCGGTTGTGGGAGCCGTTTGTGCAGGTAGAGCATCCTCTCTTGTAGAGTGTTGTGGCGTTGGCGGTGAATCTCCAGAGGCTAAGAACCTCTCAACCCACTTTGGTGGTCAGCCTGGTCCACTCTGCCTCCCACCATACCAGTAGTACCCAGCTATAAAGTCGTTTGCACAGACGAGACTGGTGCACTTGTATTTCGCCATGCTGTGGGTGGTAGACTTTGGTCACAGTGGCATCCGGGTCTCTTTTCTGCACAATGTGGTTGGGTCCGTGCCAAGGTCTTGAAAGTTTCCTCAGCCGGCCTGACTCGTCCTGTGGGAACTTGACGAAGACACACTCACCCAGCTTAAAGGCAGAAGGTCTTGCACCAAGATTGGTTCCTCGGTGAGACAGGAAACCCTCAGGTACGCCAAAGTGTGGGACTACTTCTTCTGCGATCAACTTGCCTATTCTCAATGCTTTCTGGTCTGGGACCGGGAACACCATTGGCCACTTGGTAAAAAGATCTTGAATGTCCACGACATGTCTGTTGCCTTTTTCTGTGACAGGTATATAAGTCGATCACGTCGATCCCTAGAACTTGGAACGGGCACTGGACCGGTATCAGGTGAAGTAGTGGCTTACATCTTCCTCCACTTCCAGCTGCAACTACGCACTCGGGGCATGTATTGGCGAACTTTTCCGCAGCAGCAAACATTGTCTCCCACCACCAACTCATCCTTAGAGTGTCATAGAGACGTCGTCCAGAAAAATGGCCGCTGTAACTCCCAGCATGTGTCTCTCTGAGAAGCTTCTCCTGTAGATGGCTGGGAACTACAGCACACTTCTGTCTTGTCTTGTGGTCTATGTGATAGACGACTCCATTGATGAGAGAAAACACTGATGACTGTAGCTCTGACTTGATCTCCAGGTAGCTTACCACTTGTCAGGAACTCACTCAACTCCCTCACCGCCGGGTCTCGCTGTTGTTCTGTTGCGATGCTATGAGGAGGATCGATGTCTGTCTGTGACTCTTGGAGTTGTGAGGTGACTGCACATACTTGGGTGGTGGCAGTCTTGGAAGACTGGGTTCCAGCCGCACGGTTTCTTTCCATCTCTACGACACAAATATCACTGGAATCTCCATTCTGGGATCTTAGGTTTCGGACGTCAACAGTCACCCCCTTGGCCTGGGATCTTGGCACTGTAATGGTCGGGCGATTGGAGACTGCTTCTGAAGCTGTATTCTCTGGTTCAACGTCTGGCCAAAGTACTGGACCGTGGTCGTTCAACACCTCCTTAGCTGTCTTAGGTCTTTGTTCGACGACCGGGCTGGGCTCTCTTGGTCCGAGATCTGCTCATCCGAGTGCTGTTCCATTGACTTCTGGATACCGACTGAGTCCTGTATGTCAACTGAGTTCTGGATGCCAACTGAGTTCTGTATGTCGACTGGCACCAGGGCTCTAGTCATCTCCAATGTTTGGCTACTGTCCGCGGTGAAAACAATAGTCTCTTCGGCTCTGTGCTTGCTGGCTA